GCCTGTGCACAGGCGGCACGTGTGGAGGTGACCTGTGCACAGGCGAGCGCCTGTGCACAGGCGGACTGCTCCTTCCCACGCGTAAGCGTAGATCTACGTCCACTTGTGATCGTCTGTCCGCGGAGGCTCGTCCGTCCGCGGAGGCTCGTCCGTCCGCGGAGTCTCGTCTGTGTGAAAACGGAACACCTGTCCGCAACGCACGTGGTAACTCCGGAGGCCCTTGGCCCGTAGGCGGCCTCACGCCCGTCGAGGCTGCAGCGTGGTCCGTTGCTCCTACGGTCGTCCGCGCTTCCTCATGCTTCTCTGGCGACGCACTTCCTTTCTCCGTCGCAATCGTCGCCGTGTCCGCACTGTTGGCTGGTAACACCAGTCTGCGTGCCTTCTGCTTCGGCCGGCTGTATGACTCGTACAACGGCCGCGGTCGAATGGGAGCAGAGGGTTCTTGATGCTGCTCCTCTTCGGACTCTTCTCTCCATCGCCGCTTCCGCGGCACTCGTGCTGCAGGAGTGTTTCTCCCTTCGTCCCTCCGCCTTGATGGGGTAGGAGTCGGTGACTCCTCTGCATCAGTGTCGACCTCATTCTCCCGCACATACTTCCCGGGATGGTCGACGGACAACGGCGGAAAATGCTCAAGCTCCGCCGCTGTCAAACAATTCCGCTGTCGATAAAAATTGATGAGGAAAGGAGAGAGATGGTTTAGAGTCCCCCCCTTCTCCTCAAAAGCGTGCTGTCGCATCACCCTGTGCAGGATGCTCGCCCAGTGAATTGGAGTTCCCTCGATGACGCACTCCACAAAAGAGACCTGCCACAATGTGATGTAGCAGGCGCGGTGTGGCTGCAGTAATTGCATCAGCGCCGCGGACAAAGTCCGGCGAAATCGATCCTTGTAATCACGGGTCCTGTACCCATTCTTGGTAGACCTCCCGGTCTTGAACAGCTCCACAAATTGCGCCTCTTCCTGCTTGGTCACCTTGATGCTCTCACTGTCGAAGAGGAGATGCCCTTGCATGCCGGCACATCTTCCCAATGCCTGCGCCCAATCTTGGACTGTCCACCGATCAACATGCGGACGCAATCCGCGCGAGGGTGGTCCCTGTGGCTCTAGCCACTCGCGCACCATATCCGCACAGATGTAGTTCCATCCCCATAGCAAGAAATCGAGCTTTCTTGCTATTAAGCGCTCCTCAAAAGCGCGCAGCCCGTTCTTTGGTAGGCGAAGCGGCACCATCCGCAATCTGCCCGGTCTCGTCATTGCGTTCCTGGAGTTCGCTCGCCCGCTCATTCTACTTCCGCACCGCTCGAGCTCCTTTCTCTCTCGGCAAACTCTAATCGCCCTCAATTCCAAATCACGCGCACTCACTTCTCCCTCAATCACCAAGAAATCCCCTGTGCGGCGACGTCGAGAATGTTTAGCAGCCAGCAGATGGACGCGCGCAGCGCGCACAAGAGATTGGAATCGCGAATTCAAGAATGGGACGCTCTCCGCCGCCCGGTCGAAGGTCATGGTCGGCTCTTGCTCGTGGAGGACGTCTCACTTGATGGCCGCGCCGGCTCTACGCTGGAACGGTCTCCGCTCTCACGCGCGGCTTCACGCTCCGCCGTCGCCGATTAAACTCTCACGCTCGAATTGGCGGATTTGAACTCCGCGAGCGTATTACCCCGCGGACATGGTAGCGCAGCGCCGAAGGCGAGTTTTCCGCCTTGCGCGGTACACTTGTTCGTACCGCCCCTCGGCCAATCCCCTTCTGCCTCGACGCGTGTGTCCGCATGTCGGACAAAAGTTCAACTCCTGCCTGTGCGCAGGCAGACTCCTCGGCGGATTCTCCGCCGGCGCGGAACTTCATCCTCCTGTGCACAGGCGCTTGCCTGTGCGCAGGCGAATTCCGTCCGCGGCGTCGCGCTGGCGCGGAAGGCGTTGACCGTGGTCAGCCGTCTCCGTCCAGACTATCCATTCCTTGTCTCTTCGTTGGCGCTTCCGCCGCCGCAACTACGTCCGTCCAAGAGCGCATCCACCCGTCCCGTCCGCATGGTCCGTACGGATTTGATTACTCTGGCGGCTCCCTGCTCGTCCGCGGCGCCGCGCTGGCGCAGAAGGCGCCGTACACTTTCTACCTCACAAGGCGCATTTCTAGGGCCCAAGGCGGATTTTCCGCCGACGCCGAAGCGCCTGTGCACAGGCGAACGCCTGTGCGTAGGCGGACTTCGCGCCTCCCCAAACCCTACTTCGCCTGTGCACAGGCGAACTTCCTTCGTCCGCGCATAGGACAAAACTTGATTCCCCCTTCCGCGTAGGCGGAATTCCCGCCGGTGGCGAACTCCTTCCGCCGAAGGCGAACGTCTACGTATCTTCCAATAGTGATAACTCCCTAAGTCCTCATCCGTTCCAAGCATTCTTGGACTCGTTGGAATCAGTGCGTCGAGCTCTTTCCAACGAGACCCTAACTCGGTCAAGGCGCCCGAGGGTTGACCTAATTATGAAGGATTTCCCTACCGCCGCGGACGCAACCTCCGAAGGCGGGTTTTGCGCCTTGCGTCGCAGGGATCCTAACTGCAGAGCTCGCGGGGAGGGTGGTGCCCATCCTTACTGCTGCACCCCAAATCCTAGATTCTACAAGATTCCTCGAGAATTCCCGCGATCTTCCGGATTCACTCTGTTTTGATGTACCGAAGGCTATTTACAATGCTGCCAGGGTACAGTTTTTTCCAAAAATGTTTTAATTTCCTCAAAATTACCAAAAGTGGGGTACCACATCCCTTTCTTTGCCTTCCGCCAACGGACAATCTATAGACACGTCCAAAGTTCTTCACTCCGAAGGCCGAAGGCTCTTCGCCAAAGATCATTCGTTTTCCATTTCGGCTTGATGTGCTTTCACTTTAGCCCATTCTGCTGAAATCAATTGATGTTACGAAGTTGCTTTGCTACACTCCGTACTGTCCATTTCCTCTCTCTGTTGGCGTCGTGCCTTCATCTTATGCCTTCAATCTTACTTGTCGTCCTCATCCGCGTAGAAACTGGTCTCTTGACGGGCAATACTGCACGTTGATCCACTACCTTCAAAGCCGAAGGCATCTGCAATTTTCGTCAATTCTTCGCTGGTCTCATCAATGTCATCTTCTGACTTGTCAACTTTGGTTGAATGCAATATAAGATCAATGTCGTCGTCGGTGACAACTTTGTTACATTCCAGCACTCCTTTGTCGTTGGATCCCGCGATCTCCCTCTCGAGCGGGAATTTTTGCTTCTCTGCTTCGTCAACAATCCCACACCTCGATAGAAGTTGATAAAGAACGGTGACAGGGAATTCATAAATCCTCTGAACATGTCCTTGACATTCATGTGGTTGGTACTCCAAAAGATGCAAGCTTAGTGAATTGGCTTCCCCGTCACTGCATGTTCCACAAATTTGACTTGCCATGTCGCCATGTACGCCGTTCGCGAAGGTCGCATAATCTGCATCAGTGCCACCGCCACATTGCGTATCATCGGATCGTGGTAATCTGTTCTCCGCCATCTGTTCTTGGACGAGCAAGGTGTTTTGAACAACTTCGTAATTGTCTTCTCCTCGGACTGGGTCATCTTCACGCTTTGATTGTCGTAAATGTAATCGCCCTCCTCACCTACACACGACCCCAAGACTTGAGCCTAGAGCTCAATCGTACAACTCTCAGAGTTGCCGCTAATTCCATCGCCTTCCGGCGCGCTTCCTTCATGCCACTTCTTCACAATCGGCGCAAAAACTGAATTTCAACCCCACAACAAGAAATCAAGCTTGGCAACTATCAACTCCTCGCAATATGCTTTCAATTTGAACTCCAATACTTTCAGCGCTGACAAGCAAAGCCCCATTGCTGCGCTGTCAATTTCCCACTCGCGATCCTCGCTGAACTCTCAATTCAAAAATGTACTCTCGCGAAATGTCGGCATGGAAATACTGTTTCTACTAATGTCCTTTGACGCCCTAACCGCATCGTGAACGTGTGCAAATTGATGATACAAGGGCTGAAGTTTCCCGTATGGTCGGCGCCACCTTTCATTACGCCGAAGGCCCTTCTGGTGTAAAGCCGAAGGTGTTTTTGCCAAAGTCTGAAGGCCGAACGTACTTCTGCTTCTTAGCCTTGCCATGTCATCCACTTCCTACACTCGTAACTTGATACTCCCTCATCTGTTTCCGGTGTTCTTAGAAACGTTAGAACGATCACGGCGAGCTCTATCTATCGAGATCCTGGTTAAGTCAAGTTAGTACTAATTGAAAAATTTATGAATCATATACTACAATAGATCATAACTCAGCTTCTTCAACCTTATTGCTTACAAGTAAAAACACTTACTCCAATAGAGAGGTATCTAATATGGATTCCACTATTCTTAACTTGGAATCTACTACCGAATCCACTACGTATTGTTATACTAAAAGTTTAAATTTCTATTCATCTACTCTCAAATTTCATCTTTTCAAAAAAATTAAAAAACTACATTACCACGATATGACCAAATAGAATCAGGAGAACACTTCTTTTTCTCCAGATTTTGACAGGCATACCAATGAGCTGAATTCAGGTACTAGTATTGTATTTAATAAACTTTGTAGAAGAAAACTCCATTTTGAAATCCTATCATAAACCGTTCGCTATAACAGGATTCAATATACGTTCTATGAACTATCATCAACATTGGCTCATCATTATAAGAAGCATTCAAGAATATGATGTCAAGACCATCAAGTCCATAATAACTCGGCCAAATCAACTGATAGTTTATTTGTGAAAGCAATGCTAATAATGAAACTCTTGAAAGCGAACAGATCAGATTATTAAAATTGACTGCAACGCCTACCGGAGTGTCTAAATAATGAAGAATGTTCTGATTTGGCTCCAAATTTAATGAAAAGGTGGACAACCGCGTTCTTCGTACAACGAGTCGGAGCTATTGATTCAGGTCATTTAATCCGGTTCAATATATGATAGTATGTTTCGGTATTGACTGTTGATTGGCCCATGTCTGCGATCTCTCCGCTCACTCTTTGCACATGGAGATTCTACGATTCAACTATTGCTCTTTTTTCGTTGATCAAAAGATTCCTTGTTGATCAAGAGCTTCTCGGTCAAAACTGTCATGTGAAGTGAACCAAGTTAAGCTGAGCTAAGCTAAGGTTTCCAAAGTAGATTTGTTACCAATCTTTTCCATTGGAACAATACTCTTGGGTGCAGGAGACAAGATGTTGGCAATATCCTGACGGTATAGATTTTCTTTTATAGCAAAAGTATCTTTCACTTCAGTGGCATGTACAGTATTCACCGACGAGAGCTACTACTGGCGAGAAGTGTCACATCGATGGTTCCAACTGATCAGTTCGAAAAGCCTTTGTGCTACAATCATCTAGAGCTCAAGCATCAAAATGGATGCGAGGAGGTGGAACTAGACTGGACAGGATGAGGGTGGAGTAACATATTTGATCATGGAACATGGATCAACAGATTGTAGACGGGCTGCATGACTGATTCTAGTTCGAGGTTTTTGCATGACAGGCTAAGAGTGAAAAGCGATGGCTTCCACATGTAAGATACAGCTAGCGGGCAGGTTAAAAGAGATTCCCCACAGGATGTGCACGCCTTCATTTAGTATGATCGTTTTTTCACCTACATATGTTCAATAATATCATTGACTGTACTGACTGCAAGAGCAGGTGTAGCCACAATTTTGCCAAAATATCCAAAAAAATCAGTTTTTCTTACGCTCTTCTAGTTCTAGTTAGCTATATAAGTCGCATAGACCTTCTGCATCTTCGTTGGGCGTAGCATCTCCTGAAATCTTTTCGAATCGAATCATCTATAACATTCAGCACGAGGAAAGTTAGTACACAGTAAGTATCGTCTGTTTGACTTCAATGCTGCTTTGAAGGTGAGAAGGATAGTAGAAGCGAGACTTTATCCAGACTGGGACTACATATACTTTCTCATTTCATTGTTGAAAGGCATTTGTTTACAACCACATCTATGCATGCTATTCATTGATGTGAAAGTTGAAGCACCCCGTTGGAGAAAGTTGCTATTTCACTCATTATGGTGATCTACATCTGGACCTTTTTTGAGTCCACGAGAAAGTTACCTTATCTTCTGAATGAGAAAGCCTTTCTTCAAAAAGAGCCACAGTTTTCGTTAAGACACTCAATTGGTGACAGATTTGCTGCAAAGATTGCGAGGAATGAAACATCGATGTCAAGAATCCAAGACTATCCTTTTGAAAGGCTTAAAATGCATTTTGTCATTCTTGAGCTCTTGACAATGTTTCCGAGCGTCTGCATGTTGAGAAGTAATGCAAGATATGTAGAGGCACATAAGTACGAGCAGACCTTCAAGGTGGATCCAACTGCTTTCCTGTCAGAAGCAGAATGTGGCAAAACAGCGGGACTCCTGGCTCTGGGTGTACCACATGGACGCTTTCTTCTAGAGGGTAAAATTGTTGATCCTGCCTTTAAACAGGAGCGCCGATTTACATCCACTTTTATACTTGACTTGGAGATCAAATTGCTCGAGGCATGACGTTGGTGTACATCTAAATCACTTCCATTGACTTCTGCCGATGTGGAATGGTATCCATTCATCATTTCAGGTTTGCTCTCAGGCTGGTGTACTTTTACCTGGGACACAACGCGCTCTACATCTTCACTCAGAAGGTACCAAGTGAATATTTTGGAGATCTTTTGCCATCCGTTACGTTCATCTTGTATATATGGCCTATGCAATACCAACTTGGCACACGTGTCATCAGCGTTCCTATTTGACTATTCCATGGCCAGGCGTGTGGTCAGAACCCTTTAGAATCCCACCAAAATTTTCTCAGTTTTTTCGTTCTCAGATTGGAACTTCAGAGCCATTACAATGACAGAACAATTTTGAAAACTGAAGAAGTTGCAAGGAGTCAACGAGATATCCACTAGACAAAGTCATAATCACGAGGGTTAAGAGCAGAATGAATTTACTCTGACTTTCTCGTCTTCAGTCTGATTCGGACAACCGATCTCGGATTCACGAGAGCTTGAAACTACCGCATTATCCAAGGGAGTTGGTGATGAGGGCAGTTTACAAGGGGAAGAATATTCCCTGCAGAACGCGCTCGGAGAAGAATTCAAGCTGTACGGGCAATGTATGCCTCCACCATTCGGGGGACTGGTGCACACACAATTGCATGCACTGCACAACGCATGACCAACAATTTCCTTGTCTACAAAACCCCGTTCTGCACATGATCCAGGAGATGAATACTCTGAGCATGAGGTAGATTGTAAGACTTCTTCGTGTGTTTGTGTTGCTTAAACAACTTGCATTTCGAATCACACGCATTTAGAGCCAAGATCTAATCACATGAATATCAAACAGCGGTACAACATGCCAATCGATAGATAATAATTTAATGCACACGAAGACCGTACGGTATTCGGTTGTATTAAAGCCTTTAATTTACACCGATCAGAGCTACGCAAGGCAACATGAAACGTTGAGATACTTTCTGGGCATGCTAAAGAGAGTGAAATACCCGGCTGACGACCTGTTAAGTCGATGTTCGTACGCCATAACAAAACCTGCACAAGTGGAAGTTGTGAGACAAACGATTATGAACCGAAGGATCCTGTGATCAAGGACACGAATGGTCCAGCAACCAAAAGAGCTTTTTTAGAAAAGGCATTTGTTTGCTACTCGAAGTACAGGTTTCTCCAATATAAGATTTCACGCTGAACAAACAGAGACAGTGCTGTGAAACGAGCTGCCATCTTTCAGCTGGCTTGTAGTGAGTGTTTTTTTCAATGTTGCAACTTTCAGTCACATACGTGTTCGTCAGCACTCCCAGATGCGAAGTATTCACCACTAGAGGAAAATTCTGCAGAGTTCGTTGCACCATCGTGGCCTTGCAGAGTAAACACTATTTGGCCCTCTCGTAGGTCCCAAATCTGATCGTTTGTCCACACAATACAAAATTCGGGTTTCTGGTGTCAGTAAAACGCAATACAACTACGTCGTTAGACTTGAGACTAGTTTAATGAGATTATATTAATGGTCCGAATCTTTTGTAAAATGAGTGTCGGGAAGTCATCAATTTGAGGAAATTCTTGTTTATGCGTCGCCCGTTTAGATGTTAGGACCAATCACAAAGGTTGATTCTGACATTCTGACACCGATTGCTCTAATTTAATTTTCATTGCGTATCTCAATGTATTCATGGAATTGTAGGATGAAGTGAGCTCAGAATCACCTTCAAGGTTGCATCATCGCAACTAGAGAGGAGGTAATTTCCTGAAGGGTGGAAGCTCACAGAATTAACTGCTCCTGCATTTGCGGCGTAATGTTGAATCAAGTGCTTGCTTCGGACATCCCACATCTGACAATTATTCAAGATCCATATATTACGTGCCTATTTATGAGTACGCTGCTGCAAAAGTTCAGTTTGGCTTTCTGCTGTCAATATAATATTCGTAATCAATGAAAAGTGTGACACTTGAGTAGTTCTTTGTTGATTGAATTAGGATACCAGCTGCTATCAGACGCAACTACGGTAGTGTTTGACATTGTTTCAATCAGTGAGCTTCATGTATAGCCGGAAACATGGTAATGGAAATGCGACAGATGACGAAACCTGCCAAAACTTTGAAAGAAACGTGAGGCTGTTCGCGGAACCTGAATGCAATGATCGGAATTGCCACTGGCCACACAACAGTTATCCGGATGAAATCGCGCCGAATTCACCAACCTAGAAGGGCATTCCAACACAATGAGAGATTCCAAAGACCTAGGATGTACAGTCAACTCAGATAGTGCTCTAAGTCGCGGCAATGAGTACAGCGCAGTCAATGCTTGTTATTTTTACTACTAGGTGAGTTCCGAAGAATACGGCCTGAATGATTCAATCAACTCAGTGGCCTTGAAATGCAAAAAATGCGTTCGAATACATGGGCGTTCTGTAAGTCTTCACCCTAAGACATCTGAGAATTGTTGAACGCACTCACGCCTCTCGACATCCCATAATCTCACGCTTTTGTCGTCACTGCCGGAAAGGATGAGTCTGCCAAAAGAAGGAAGAACACAAGATATAGATATAAGTGCCTCCAATTGTCGACAGCCACCGACGAGAAGAAGATTCTAGGACTTTCATTCCTTACGATGAAAAGCAGGACATGATACTGCGCGATGACCACATCTTGGACCACATCGCACGAGTAACCGGTCTAGGGCCAGATCGGTCCGCATGACCTTGCAAATATGGGAAGAACGAGAGAAACGATTTGATTGCGAGAATGATGGAAATGAAACTCTTTAGAGATGTGGTGAATTATCGAGGCAATGGACGATTAAGCATGAGAACGAGTGAAGTTCTTTCGATATCCACGGGACTCCATCGAAAACAACCGAAGTTCTAGTTTGTGTTGTGAATCATCCCACATGCAATGGCAGATTTTACTAATTTCGCCGTAGTTTCACTTTGCTGATAAACGAAATGAAACGTTCAGCTTGGAGAATTTGATTTACACCTTCGATCTGCATTGAACTCGGCAGATCGAACCCAGTTCATATGTCCACTCAAGGCGCATACGAACTTTTGATTCTTCACCTTCCAAATCTGTACAAAACTTCCTTCGTGAGCAAGATTCATAAAGATTATGTATTTGCTCACATTCAGGCTTATACACGAACTATTCATGAAACTTGTCGCCAGAAATAGCAAGAATAGAGAACAAAGGAATTCCTCTGAGGGAAAGCACGAGAGCTTTCAGTTTATAATTAACGTCGTTCAGCTTTCAAGAAACATGGTCTACCTTGATGGTCTTGTCATCAGAGCCTGAAAGCAGGAAATGTCCGTCATGACTAAAATTTACAGTTCGCACAGGTCCTGTATGTCCCTTGATCACTGAACATTTACCTTCCCTGTCAAGATGCAATATTTTATCATGACCTGTATTAAGACTTGGCTGCATATAGCGGCATATTTGAGAAGACAAATTCGTTATTTCGGTCCGAAAGCTCGAAAGATGACGAGTTGTGTCATTGTACGTACACAGTTGGTATCCACAGACGTATGCTTTTATCTTGTGAGCCCGACGCTACAAGATCATCGCACGGAGAAACTGCCACTGAGTATACTGGGCCCTGTGAATTGTAACTCAAGTAAAATTTCGTGAAGGGTTATAATTAACAAACAATTTGACTAAATAAATTCTAAATAGAAAATTTGGCTTTGTCTGTGCGGCAAACGCGATATATTAATTTTTTGATGCTATCAAATTTAATGAATTTCAAGAACTATACGCATGATGGGTCATGCAGATTCGATGAGCTTTGAAGTAGTATCTGCTCTACGACCATATTCTCTGATGATGCATACGGTGCTCTCCATTAACTCAAAGCTGATCATTAGATTCGACTCGGGAGATGCAATTGAAGATTCTGACGAGCTGAAGTCAGTAGAATGAGATATAATTCTGAGGATCTGGAATTACATTATGACCCAGGAAGCGGAAGGGCCGCACCACAGGGTGGCGTAAATTGGGCCTGCAATGCAAACTCCACAAATATACAGCATTGTCGTTTCCTCCTGAAACCAAGTGCTTCATTTGAGGTCGAAAATGAACGGCGTGCACGCCGCCTCTGTGGCTACCATACTGAGAGACGATCGTTGGATGGTGATTCGATACCTTTCCTTCCCTCTCACACAATTTTCAAGATATGAGCTCCACACCCACACCCTCATATGACACGCGACTAAGTTCTCGCCCAAAGTGCTTGATAGCTTAATTAGTTCATCGTTAGCTTGCCGTAAAATCATTTTAGACCGTGCTGTTGTCACCTCGACTCGAAGAGACGAAAACACTCGTTTGTCTCACTAAATTAGACTCAGATCACAACTAAAAATATATCACAGAAAAAATCGTCTGTGTGAAGCCACAAAATCTCTTTCTTTTTGGGGAAACCGATTGCTCGGAACCGAGACAGCCGACTGACCTGCTGCAACACACACTACCTCACCGAAAGAAGAGACCAATGAACACAAATGCACCCGAGAACATTCGACTCTTCGGACGAGAGATCGGGAGAGTGATATGCACCTTGCTTCCCCATGACAAGACCGATCGTCGCAGCTCGCAATGGAAAATTGCCCGCAGCCACGACGAGTTCGCGAAGGCCTGAAATTTAGGGTTTCCTGACGCGCGTTCGCCCGAGATATTCGCTCTTAAAGGGCGCGTGCCAAGAAAGGACGCTCCGACAGCGCCAGCCCGTGCAAGCGCACGGGCTCCATCTTCCAGCCGTTGGTTACCGTTGGATCGGTCAATCGGCTTTTCCACCTCGGGTTCTCTGAGAAAAACTGTGGTGAGTGCGGTGCTTACTTATATGATGCGAGGTTAAATATTATTTATAATTTTTTCTTCCTTTTTTTTCCGATTTTTTTTATATTACATAGAAAGTCATATCATGAACACACTTGTCCACTTTCAGTTTACGACTGTCCGTTGAGCATTATTTTAATAATGAAATTAGCAAAAGTAGAGAGTTTAGTGTGTAGTTATTGATAAATTTTAGATTACCTTTTGCTAAAAGTTTGGGTTTTGGTGTATTTGGGACGAAAGAAACTTCAAAATACTTATGTAAGTAATCTGAAATGAATTCAACATAATTTTAAAGAAAAACTTTTCCGAGTTTGGTACCATGAAACAATCATCGAGCAATGATACACTCTCATCTCGGGAGTTCCCTTGCCTACCACTCAAAAGTTCAGGCAGAAAGTGTATCGGCACTTTCATTTCCACTGCAATCTATTGATATCGTGCTCTTCAGCAAACAAAAGTTACACGAACAAATACATTTGCATTTCCTTTGATTCATCCACTGTGGACCAAGGACATGATACCTGCTGACCGTCTGTTTCTCGTCGTTTTCGGTTCCATGGAATCTTATAAGAAACCATTTGTCCACGGAATAATGACGTTGAACTTTCATGGGTAGAAAGTCCCGCACGTCTCACTTGCGCAAGTGCCAAACAAAATAGAGCTATATATAGCCACCTTTATCATGCTATATTTAGCTATGTCTGAAAAGACAGTAGGGTAGGTACATGGGCACCAGTGAGTGAGAAGTCAGGCAGTAATCAATTCTTCTTTCGAAGACTTCTGTAGAATGAATATGATGCTGCAAGGCTTTATGCGCGGCTATAGATTTGTCAAATTCCTTGACTTCTGTCATTTCACGGGTTTCAGTGCTGAGTTTACATTTGCCACCTAAATGATGATACTACAAGTTTTATGATCTTTTGCAGAGAATCCGCTATGCATTGTCTCTAGACAGTACGAGCAATACAGGATTGAATTAAGATCCTTAATTCAGTCCTATATTGCTCAGTCCTATATAGTTTGAAGATCAATGGACTCTCCGAGACTGTCTCCGGCAATTTGAGGTTGGTACTAAATTTTCGTTTCCAATTTTTGATTGATATACAAGTAATCGAGAACTAATCTAGTTGTATATGCTAATTGAAGTTCATCGGAGGCGACTGTGGATGATGGCAGCAATTGACGAACTCTGAGTGTTCTTATTAAATGCGGGTGTTTGTAAACATAAACAATTAGAGGATAGACAGTGAAATCTCTATAACAGAGAACTCGGAAAAACATTATTGTTGTCGAATTGACAAAAACTCGAGGACCTAGCTACTGTAGAAGACCAGTTGTTGGAAATATCGCGGTGACACCGACCATCCAGTCTAACGCTATATTTAAAGATATATGTGTAACAGTAAATTGTGAACTGGATCTATCCAGCTGCGACACTTATACCGTCAGCAAGCCTATCCAAGGTTACTAAGTTAAGATATATAGAGAAGTGCACTCACTTCTGAATTTCTCTCTAATAAATTTTAAGCAACATGTAACCTAGCGATATTGGCCAAAATAAATCTGGTTGGTTAGCCAAAGTAAACACCCACGAAGATCTTCGACCCTCGAAGAGCCTTCATCCATGGAGAATGGTATATACCTTAGTGAGCTAATTCTTGTTTGAAATTCAACTTTTGTATTAAACATTTGTCCCCCAGTGTTTGTTTTAAAACTTCCGACATCATCTAAATTCTACATGATGATAAGCCAATCATACATTCCCAGAGCGTCAATGTTTTGATAAATATAGAAAGTATGAGCTGAAATATGTGTCAAAGTGTTTAGGTACATTGTGTTGTTCTCTTCAGGTTAGGCACTAACGAGTATGAACGTTTTACGAGTATGAATCGAGTACCCTAACCGTTAGGGTACTCGATTCATACTCGTAAAACATCCTCGCAATTCATTAAAAAAATGACATACTTTTCCTTCTTCTAAAAAGTTGACCTTGATGCCATGTAAGAGGGAATAGCATTGTAAGAGTGATGACAATACCCCATCAAGTCTGACAATGATCAAACCAAGGAGTACTATTGGCTAGGCCTCAAGAGGATCAGATTGGGAGAGTAAATCGGAACAGTAGCTTCATAGGCTTCTGTTCTCATGATCATTGTGATAATAGATTCGCGTGATCTTCGATATAAAAACAAAATCTGATAAAAACAAATAATACTTTTTGGTATGATGTAGGACACAAAAAAGTATACATATCAAATGGCAAGGCTGTGCATCCATATAACTACTATAATGGAGTAAAAAGAGTTTCGATGACATATATCTTCTTTGTTTAACAGAAATGGGATTAGCCAAGTGCTTTATAATTCGAGGGCATCTTGGGTCCGAGCGTAAGGACGGGCTGCATGGTAGAACACCAACCAGCAGGAATCTCGTGGTCGTACTCGAGGATCAGGTCCACCAGGATGTAGTCCATCGTTCCAACCACCATGCTATCTGTCCAAGCTATAGCAGCAATACCTGCCGCTAGGACGTTTACCAAGATCGCTCGATGAAAACGTGCAAAAATTAGCAGGCTAGGCTCCATCGACGTCGAGACCATGGAACCGAACCATCGATCGATCGATGCTTTCTGGAAAATTTGGCAAGCAACCGGGAGCTCGCTAAGTTCAGGAATTTGGAACTAAATCGGCACAGAATCGAAGCTGCTTACAAGCTGCCAAATGTGAGCGTACAGCGTTACGGATGGCACTGGATTACTTTGCGTCTCTTGCGGAGAAAGGGGTTTTTTACTTGCAGAGAAAGGGAAAGCAGATTTTCCCACCGATTTAAATACGGCACGATATAGACCGGAGATCTGACAAATGGACATCACGTTGGACTTGGCTTTTATAGAGCAAAGTCCAGCGTGATAAAGATAAAGACCCCGGAGTGTAAAGTCAGGGATAAAGTCAGAATAGCGTTGTGAATTAGTCATTTCGACGAGCTGGGTGAGTAAGGACGTATGACCATATCCGTCAGGTCAGAATGTGACTCTCTCTCAAGGGCCGAAAAATCTCTTGCCCCTGCAGAATTAGAAACTCCATATATATTATGTATAAAAAACGAGAATGCTCCCTTCTCATGAGGTAAAGTTGGGGGTAGAAGAATTATAGAAGAAATCATTGAAGAAAATGATTCCGTTTTGCTATTTGTACAAGCTAAACCTCCACGAGCAGTATATATACCGTATCAAGAAGGTAGGGACCTTCTGAATACGGTAAATTTAGCAGGCAGGAAAGCACCTGGTCACAATTCTTGGCTGATATCCATATTTGAGGTAGCTACAAGGAGAATTAAATACATGCATAGTATAAGTATATGGTCTCTCGAAGCTCTCATGACACGTTTCGGAACCTCTTTGTTTTTTGTTTTTGGTGTGATGTTAAACGTCAACACATGCTATCGACTTTTCATAAGCCGTGCTCGACAGAAAGTCAGGCTCGAGTTCCGAGGCGGGAGATAGTCTCATATCTTCTCGCTGATAATACGCATTGCGACAAGCATGATGATGGGATGCCGCAATTATTGTTATTTCGTGGGGAGAAAAAAGTTCCGAGGCGGGAGATAGTCTCATATCTTCTCGCTGATAATACGCATTACGGCAAGCATGATGATGGGATGCCGCAAATATTGTTATTTCGTGGGGAGAAAAATATGTCATTGCGACAACTCGGAGATTTTTAAGTTTTGATTAATCATATAATATGATTATATATGATAAATATATTATTCATATCTGATCAAACGCAATCTTTGTCCACCATGCAAGGAGCTGCTTACGTCACAACTACCGTCCACGGAAAGTCAGTCCACATTCCGCGACGAAGTCAATTGCCGAGCGCAGACAACGCGAAGCATTAGATCATTTCCGGACTCTTCTCTCTCTCCTTCCCTCCCTCCCTCCCTATGTCTCCTATAATGCATGCAGTCTCTATGGATCCGGTGACGGCCTCTCGAATCATCAGGAACACCGGAGGCTCAAAGAGACGTGTATCGATTTGTCGACGAGATTTGTAGTTCAGGTGGGAAGCATTGCAAATTCTGATGCTTGCTGCATATGTCTGATACGATGGACGGCGAGTCGCGAAGATCATTGCTGGATGATTTCCAGGACGCACAAGCCGTCTCTATTCTCAGAGCCCCAAATGGAGGAGAGGCATGTGGCAGTGTCACCGGACCCAGGAATGAGCAACGCGCCAAACAAATCCTTGGGGGCGAGAAGACTGAGGGAGCAGGAGTGGAGATGCCGACAATTGGAGAGGAGATCAAGACGCAAGTACTCATCGCACTGCCGATGATAGTCATGAATCTCTTGCAGTTCTCGATTCTCATCGTTTCTGTCATGTTTGTGGGGCACTTGGGATCACTGGAGCTCGCCAGTGCATCTCTCGCCACCTCTGTTACAAACGTCCTCGGCTTGTACATCCTGGTACAATTTCTCCGTCCTTTCAATTCTTGCACAAATGCTTTACAAGCATAATATACGTTCCATTTATTCCAACCAGTCATGCGAATCGAACTGAATTACTCAATTCATGGCAGATGGGAATGGCAGGGTCTCTGGAGACCCTTTGTGGACAAGCTTACGGTGCCAAGCAGTACCACATGCTGGAAATTTACGTTCAGCGGGCAGTCTTCGTCCTGTGCTGCACTTGCGTGCCTTTGACAATTCTCTTCCTGAAGATTGAGAGCATCCTCCTCCTGGCCGGGCAGACGCCAGAAATCTCCAGCAAAGCGGCAGAATACGTGTTTTGGCTATTGCCAGCCCTTTACGCCAGCGCGTTTTTGCAACCGCTTATCAAGTTCTTGCAGACCCAGAGCATCGTTAGACCCATGGCTTACTGTGCAGCAGCCGCGTTGGCAATTCATGTACTTTTGTGCTGGTTCTTCGTGTTCAAGCTGGGTCTCGGCTATCGAGGTGTTGCAATGGCCACGAGCATATCATATTGGGCGAACGTAGTGCTTTTGGCCACGTTCGTGAAAGTGTCAAACTGCTGCGACAGGACTTGGGTCAATGGCATCTCAAGAGAGGCGTTCACAGACTTACTACCTTTCATGAGGCTATCTGTCGCTTCAACTGTCATGTTGTGGTAAGCTCCCTTCGGAATGTCTTGCTATTCGACCTCGATATCATGCAATTTTACATTGTAGCTATGATCATAACGGAAATCTGTTTGTAAAAGGTGTGATCAGGATTTAGTCCACAAAAGGCAAGTATCACTGAAGCTTAACCATATCAGTTGTGATTGTGTTTTTTGTCATTAGCCTGGAGTATTGGGCCTTTGAGATAATGGTGCTGGCCGCTGGATGGTTGGCTAATCCTCAACTGGAAGTCTCAGCATTAGCAATTGGGTAATGATATGTTCATAAATTTTCGCCGCTTTGATAATTTCCCGGCTGAGACTGATGCTGTTTCAAATTTTCCTTCAAGTTGTAGACTCCTCAATGTTTGTCAGCAGAATGCTGAGCTAACTGTGATTTATTTCTTTTCAATTTTTGACAGCCTGAATACCTCCGGTTTAAGTTACACGATCCCTACTGGCCTCAGCGCTGCTGCAAGGTAGGCCCTTAATATTCATTCTTTATGTCAGACATTTATATCTTTGGGTTTTACACGTCTTAAGTTCCTGTAAGTTTCAAAAAATTAACGTGGAATGTAGATTCGAGCTAGCGTAGAAGCACGAATTTCCTGGAGAAAAGTGACGAATTTCAAATCTCTTGATTAATCCTACCACCAAAACTTCGGTTGGGCTTAAGAAAAGTCTTTATATTCTACATTTTCATTTGATCCTTGGGAACTTCAGACTCCCTTCAAAATTTAAAAAGTCGATCATAAACGCTTCTTGAGCTGGTCGATCGCACTTCAACATTGTATTCTGTATGATTGAAATTGTAATCAAACTTGCTTTAAAGTCTTGTTCAGACCATTAGCTAAGTCCCGTAGTCTCATCATGGGGTCTCCAATTTGTCCACTAACGCAATGGTTTTTCATGTACACTGGATGAACCTTTCTCGCAGCACTCGCGTTTCTAATGAGCTCGGAGCTGGGAGGCCTCTTGCAGTGCGCAGGGCGATAAAAGTGGTGCTTACCACCTCTTTCGGGGTTGCCATCATTGTTTCGAGCTCTTTGTTCTTGTCACGAGATAGTTGGGGCTTTATCTTCAGCAAGGACCTTGAAGTGGTCTCAAAAGTCTCCACTATTGTGCCATTTCTATGCTGCGTCATTCTTTTTGACGGCTTCCAAGGTGTTCTTGCAGGTGTTTATTCTCTACCATCTGAAACTCGGGTATATTGAATCTCATTCTCAGAACTGACAAGGCAAGATTAGAAGGCATTGCCGTCATGATTCGGTTTGGAAGAAAGGATATAGCAACTAGAGAAAGCCCAGGCTTAGGAAGACAGATGTCTTGCCAACCTGGCTTCGTCTATGTTTCAAGCCTGGACTGAACTTAGTTCTCTCTATTCTGCAAATTTAATGATTTGACATTCAGTTTATTAATGGTTCCGATTGGCAATGGATGTACAGATTCCACCCAAGGCTCTGTTGAGATCATGTTTATAAGAAGGTGATATGTTATGCAGGGATTTTCAAGGGTGCCGGATGGCAAGACGCAGGCGCTATGATAAATTTCACCTGCTTCTATGTATTTGGCATTCCTACTGGAATGATCTTGTCTTTCTACTTTGGCTGGGACTGCAAGGTACTAAACCCCGTCTTCTTTGGTCAAACGCAGCTAGCTATTCCTGATTTTTCGTGTTTGTCGCTGCAGCCTTACTTGTTACAGCATGGAATCTCTGAAAGTGTGAGAATCTCTTGAATTTAGTCTAACTTCACCCATTCTCCAGGGTTTATGGACCGGTATGATTACAGGACTTGGAATTCAAGTGATCGGACTTTCATACATATGCTCTCGCACAAACTGGGATGAACAGGTATGTGACAGAGTTCAAAGTTGGTCTTAAGAGTACTTAAAACCGCTTGAAAATATTTACTTGTTGGACTCTTATGGAACCATCACTTCTTGCTAACATAATTTCTCTCATTCCAGACGGAGATAGCCTACACTCGACAGCGCAAAGCAAGGTCATCGACAGATGATGTACATGCGGCAGAAAGCATATATCCTTGATCGAAAGCTCTGGTCACAGAGTTTCAGTTGTACAAAGCATGCAACTTCTCAGCACGTTCATTCATCGTCAAATGTGCTGGCCCCCAATGAGCGCCTCATATGGTCTTTTGGTCACTCCAGATGGAATGGACTTCCATATTAAACATTGAGGTTCTCAAAAAGGATGCTGCAGAAGATCAAGTGGGTTGTAGGAAGCCGCAGAACAGCTTCTGCCTAAGTTTGATGAGCTCCAGTGGCTGAATTCTACAACCAGCAAGCCTGGAAAAAGCATGTTACGCTTGAAGGCAAAGGAGGGTGAATGACAAAAGGAACAAGGCTGGCTTTTATGACTCACCATTTGGTCTCTAGTTGACAAAGGTTGATTCTTTCTTGTACTTCATACAAGAAAGAAATGACAGAGGGTGGTGAATTCCTGCTTCTTTGAGGATGGTGAGTCTGGGCCTCCACTGTGATTTGACGTTCAATTTCTATCCGATTCATGTGAGGGACATGAATCTCGGGCGAATAGAAAGTCCAGGAAGGTTCTGCATTCTAGCCTTTCATCTCCAATAGGTTTGAAGTGCGAACGTAATGTCAAATTTTTTATATAATATTAAATTATTTGCTTAACTTGGCATAAGATCTTGCCGATCAAGTCCATTTCCATGATTGCGTACGAGGATTTCATGAATGCAACTGAGAATATTAGCAGCCGAATTGACTGGTTAGCATGCTGGATATGAGGGATTAAATCTCATCTATGGATGAAGCCCGGTATGAGGACAGTGTGTTCTTAATTTCTCACTGACGTCTTCGCCTACGAAGATAATCCCTATACGGAGCTTAGATTATTCTTTTCGAGTCCTAAGGAAACCTCGGCTACTTCGAATTACATGCTCATCAGAAAATCGTATGACGCAGCCGGAAGTTGGTAGCTTATTCGGATCTCATTGTTACTGATCTCAAGTGTGCAGAAAAGGTTATGAGGTCGTCGAGGCTTATACTCGTAGAGCTCATCATTGATTGAAGAATTTTAAGATCGCTCCAGGCCCACACGAATCAAGCATTCTGCAAGGATCCTGTGCTGATGTCACCTCTTCCGGCCAGACTTAGGAAGAAGCTAAAAATGCCATGCGACTGCAAGGAGCTGGAGTTTCTGCCGAACATCAAGCATCCTACATAACACTCCCACTCCAGGCGATGTGGAATGTATCCCGATGACGTCTAGACCCTTGAGGTAGAAAATCTCACCTACTTGTTTCGTCCCACCATCTCTCAGAAACTGGAATTCAAGCTCCAGGCAGATCTAGTCAAAGTCAGCGAGGATCAAGACGGTAACGGATTCCACTCGCGTCTTCACGCGGACTTGTACTTTTGCGCAGACATTGAACGTGGCCGGGAGAACAGCACCTCGCACAGTAAGAAAAAAACCGGCAACCATATCGCTCTGTAGTGCTCGGAACAATATTCAGAAGAAATAGTCCTTCAAAAGTGGGGATTGCATCCAGATCCAGCCGATGTCGGAAAAGCCTTCCAAACTATTTCAAGAATCTCTTGGATTCTGAATGCAACTGAACGTTTCCGTGTCAGCCACCCTTTCCTTGTTGGTCACATAGCTGCACAAGACCAGTGCTCGAGGCTTCGGACCACCAGATTGATTATACAAATTTATTTAATTTGTACATGAATGAGGGAAGCGGAGTCACACAAGTTAGTGTGATTAGCTTCGTGCAATCCATGCATAGGCCTACTCATCGTTTTCCACGTGCTTCAAATGGACTAGCGATGAGGCCAAAAGTGAAAGGTAATGGTTCTGAGCGGCTGACGTTGGAACACATGTGTCGGTTGTCCTTTTGACCACAAAGTTTCCAGAGAGTAAGTTGGAGATGTCACTGATCATTCAGAGGATTCACGTGCAAGATTTTTTCAAGTCAGCAGCACGACCATAAAGTGACCGCCGAACTTTGGAAGTCCTCTGGAGGAAGTTCGATTACTGACATCTCTATAGCCTTCATCGTCTTCCCAGCATAGCCTTGCACGCTTTTGTCTTCCCTGACGAGCAAACAGCCAGGGTATCTATTCAGCCAACGCATGAAAGAGCTCCAACTCTATCATGCATGGGCTGAATAAATACCCTGGCTGCATATCAGCCCATGATTGCTTGCGCTAGCAGGTTAGGGAGGTCCTGAAATTATTTTTTTGAGCAATTGACAGTATGTCTCTTGATTCAACCCATATGCTCCTGCAATGATGGCAATCAATTTCCGTCGAATTTTCAATGTCAATCATGTACTGAAACCTACGCCGATGACTTGCGGAGAGTGGATCCGAAGAAGGTCAGTGGCTGCAGACAATTAAACTTCGTGCGGGCTTCGCCTGCAGTGCGGTCCTGTAAAGGTGAGCACTCGAAGACTTGAATTACTTTCTTGCGGATTTAGTAGTAATCATGTTAATATGCAAGCCACGTAGACTCTTGCGACCATTGCGACCATTGCGACCATCATCTCTCACATATTCGTTTCATTACTAGACAGTACGATTTGTACATCTTCTAGAGCTTTCAACATATGATATGGAGAAGATGTCATATTGTCAAATCTTTGACAATGAGATTTGCTTCTTTCCAAACGATGGTCGATACCGTTGGAAATGCAAGGCTGGACATTTATACTGACGCTTACTCAAAGAACCGTAATCGAAGCCACCAGAGCCCCCGCAATCTGCCTGCTTCTCGATTCATCCACATGATTCGGTAACTTGGACGAACAGAAAACAGTAATTGAGCTCAATGGTGGGACTGCCATGAACTGAGATTTTGATTTCATTTTGATCCGTTTGTTTATTTGTCGATGTTAACGTCGATGGTTTATTTTGGTGATTGATTCAACGAGATCATACAGCTTAAGCGAGAATTTTGATTGAGCTAGGTGCTGTTATGCGTCACCTGTGCTCTAAGAAAGGTAACACGTAGCGTAGAGACTTAGCCAGAAGTGAGTCCCTATCTTTGCCTTAATGCAGATTTATAATTTCTAGATTATCTGCGAACAAATTGCAGAACAATGTCCAACAATCGCCTCGATCGATGTTCGGTTCTGCAGTAAAGACACGAAGCGTGTATCTTGCGTATGCAAAAGCTACATAAACACTTGTGCTCCATTGACTGGACATCGTATAATAGAACAAGCGGAGCCGCCACATCGCTTGAAAAACTCGAGCATCTCATGATTTCAAAGGTATTTTCTGAAACGCTCTCCTTGATTCTTGTCTCCTGTGAAAGTTACAGTGCCTTCTTAATAAGTCTCCAAAAATCCTCAACCAAATCCAGTACCCTCGCAGCAAAAGTGTGCGCGAGGGCATGACCTTCAATCTTAGAAGCAGAGCTTTCACACACAGGAAGACAAATGTGGTCCCATCCGCAAAGTGAATGCCGGTACAATGATGTAAAACCCCTGTACTGTGGAGCGCTGGCAATCAATGAACGCCCCTTTCTGTACTTCCTCAATTGATGGAGGTGGTGCGAACAAATACAATACTGTAATAAGAGCTACATACATCTATGGTGTGACCAACTCAAACGTGCAAACATCTGAACTTGGACAGCAAGAGAGTCTGTCACCAACAAAAAATTTGTGTCAGTCACAAACTGAAATATGAAATGAATAAATTAGAGACTGTCGCTTTGGTACTTGGAAGACAAAAAAAGCTAGTATAGTGCAATGCTCCCTTAATCGACTGAGAGGATAGAAGGTCGAATCAATGACGATCGTCCTGTCTTGAAGACTCTGTATTTTAGGCTGCCTTGAATTCTGCACTGCAAGCCACTAATTGATTCCTTTTGCTGCCTAAGTAGATAGCTGTTCAAGTTCCTGTTGGAAATCTGTAATGATGAGCTAATTCAATTCAATTCTACTAAGAAACATCTAATTGTATATTTATGGGAATGTTAAAACGACAACATCTAATGTTAAAACTACCTCGTATGTGTCACCTCTCAAAAACAATTTTTTTCGGAGTGTGGAGAGGGCCTCCATAATGAACTTGCGAGATAGTTGGTCAATCTTTTGTTGCAGGGCAATGGCTAGGTATATGGAAGTGTTTTTTGCACAAGAAAGAGTGGGAATCCACAAACATGCTCGCAGCTGATACTTGGGCTTGTGTGGTAACAAAATTTGTTTTGACGGGTCATGTGACCTCGAGAGGCGAGTGTGATCGTTTTAACACTAAAGAAAACAATATATAGTAGATTTCTAAACAGAGTTGAAAGTACTTCCGTCATAAAGAAAGTGCAAAAACTATGGTTAACTGCATTGCTTGCCCTTTGACACCTTGGTCGTTGAAAACCTAATCCATCTCAATACACAAGTCAACCTAGTTATCCCGCCGCATGGATGGCAGTCGCAATTTCTACACTGACTACAGTAGCTCTGCCTCCCAATAGCAGACAAGCTATCACACGCGATGAGTAGAATACAATCATAGACTCTAAAATCATATGATTACAGCGATGCGTAGAGTGAACCTTGAAAAACCCAAGGTTTACAAACTAAGTGCCTGAGTTGGAATCACATCTTCTCTTATTCTGCTTGCCAATCATAGAAAAATGACAGACAGCTTTCCATGGAGTTGATTTTGCCTTTCTAGAATGTGTCTCTATATCTTTCCTGAAGCTATATGTCTTATTGAAATAATCCTAAGAACAAGATAAGAACAAAAATTTAGAAATAGAGCCCGTTTCAAGAATGTTGAGGAGCAGTTGACATTAACTAGAATGAGCCCCCTAATGGGACCTCGACAGAGATCACCACTCCAAGTCGTAAGTAGCACTCAAAGTCTCATGCATGCTTGGATAGTATGGCTCTGAATCCACGTAAATCATGCATCGAGTGTCGGAAATTGAGATGGAATTTGCAACATAATGATGAGACACAGAAGATGAAGTTGGAGGAACCCTTTTCTTTATCTTGTGCTCCGTAGATCAGAAACAGTGAAAGGAGGCGAAGTTCACGCTCTGACTGATTAACAACAGCAGCTGCGATACACTAGATGTCCTCTGTTGTCACCATCTAGATATCATACGAAATTCAGGATAAAGATGGAAAAGAGAGGTATCCACTATATATAATCTTGGAGACTTCTCTAAAAATTTTATGGTTTTTTGTTTCACAAAACTAGATAATACAGAGATGCACAGTGTGGTTGTCCAAGAATGCTGCGATATGTGCAAGATACTAGATTTAGTCTTGCGATTACCACCCACAGTTATATGTACTCTTACCTCAATACCACCCGTTAGACTTAGATATCAAAATCAGCTCAGCTTTGAACAATAAATAAATATATATATATAGCAGAGGCACCCGTGCTCAGAATTTGCTATAGACGACTAAGTTAGTACCGTATCTGATATCAGCCACAGCTCTTGTTATATAAATTGAAGTAGGAGAGATCTCTTGGCAACGATATCTCCAGGCTGTTTACTTTGAAATTTACAATAATGTTGAAAGCTACAATACAAGATAATCAGATTATAACCGCAGACTTACTGAAACAAGTGGTAGTCAATTTGCAGCCTTGGGATGGGGACAAGTGGCAGTGGAACAGCAAGTTGAAGAACGATGCCAAACATCTCACTCATAGTGGAGATAACGTGACAGGAAGGGGAATAGTCAAACACTTGCATCAGCAAAACCGACGCCCGTTGACACACGAGCAGTTCTATATTCATCCCAACAAACTTTCTCCTACCGCCGCCAATTGCTAAAAGCATGTACTCATACCGCAGACGATAATTGCCCATTCCTTCCAGACATTCTGTCCGGACCAAAGGCCATCGGTATATGGTCACAAATTCGGATCAATCGTCATCGTCCATTAATCTCTCGAGAACGGTTGAATTGGCATGGACTAGCTAACCTCCAGATCTTGAGAAATTATATTTTGACGGTGGTGACACCAGATGAATTAGCATTTCAAGCGATAAGTTGTTCTCACAATTACTTGAAGAAACGACATTTTTGAGAAGCCGAAATGTAATACTCGTCGTCCTTTGCCAACAACGGTGTCATCTCATCTTTGAGCTTTTTAAGCTCTTGAGGTTGCCGAAGGAGTTCCAAAGTGTTCTGCATTCTGTTTTTGTGGAATTTTCCCTATTCCAGCCATGTATTAAGTTCCTACCCTGCACTCGCGGACAGTGATATTTTGTATATCTGTACTATTTTGTATTTTGTACTGTTTCCATTTTCACTAGCTTGCTTTCGAGCAGCAAGGTCATCAGTCATATTACACCAATCGCTTACCAAAGTTTATCTCAGCCCTTCCACTTGAAAACAGTTCAATTCAATGCAGTGTATACTATGTCATAAGAAACTCTTTAGTTTTCTATTGACAAAGGTATGCAACAACCATGCTTAGCGGTCATGTGACATCTATTGCAAATAAATGTAAATACAAAAATCTACATTCATCATAAATCTACATCTACATCTATCATAATCTACATCTATCATAAATACATCTACATTGTAAATCAAAAAATCTAAATGCAAAAACTTTGAATCAGTATATGTGAATACACTTCAATACATCTAGATTGTAAATCAAAAAATACCTGATCATAGATTAATACAAAAAATTTACTCAATGTATTCACAATATTTTCAAATTTATCTGTTTCTTCAGAATTTAAACTTTAAAATCTATTAAATTTGATTAATTTTTAAATTAAAATACTTCAGGTAAATCAAATCGATATTAAAAAATGAATATATTTCCATTTCAAGTTACACATAATTTATATTTTCCATTCAAATTCTATGATGATAAAAAAAAATTAAAAATTTACCAAAGTCAATAAAAATTTTATATATCATAAAAACATCAGAAATCATGTTAAAAAAATCTCTACATATCAAAAAAGGCTAAGACTGTAGAAATTTATTAATAAAGATAAATTTATAAATATTTGATAAATTAAAATTAAAAATTATTTAAATATGATTCGTATCAGAGTAAAAAAAACTGCATTTAGATTTATGACCAATTACATGTTTTGATCACAATTCAAATTTTATTCACAAACTCATTTGAAATGTAAAAGGTGATATTCTAACTTATCATGAATTGCATAGTAATTAGAAAAACAATGTTTGAAAAATGGAGGATGTTGTATTATTTATGAAATGAACTTCACAGCTAACCATTTTTTAAAATTTTCAAACCTGTATTAAAAATGATGGAATATTTACATATGATCTGAATGTAGAGAAAATTTTCAAATTTTCATATAATAATTTAATTTAAAATTATATATATTAAAAATTTAAAAATTATGAAATATTAAATATTTCTCTATTCATTTTATGTATATATACGTATATATGTAAGAAAATTAACAGTAAAGTTTGAGCATAAAAAAATGAAAGCTTTTTGTTATTAATTTTCGTTTTTGGTTTTTATATCTCTAAAGCATAATTGAAAAATATGAGGTTTGTAAAGTAATGAAGTTATTTTTAAAATGATCTTTGTCAAGTGATTTTATTTTATAATTATAGGTAAATTACTAAATGACTTTTGTTCAGGATTGATGATAAACATTTTTTGGAAAAAGTAGTATACAAATTTATGAACATAAAAAATAATAGGAAAAAAAATCGTTACTAAACTAAATGTTATGATAAAAAAATAGAACTTTTCAGTCATATCTTATTTTATTCAAAAGGATTTTGAAATATTGTTAAAATTGAAATACATGGAGTTGAGCATTAGTAATAAAAATTTAATTCAACTTGATAGTCAATCTTTGTCAATCAACTAAATATGATATTGAAATGCAAAGAATTATTATGTGCATAAAAACCATCTTTCAGACTTTGTCAATTATTGAAATTTGAACTTTTACTATTGAAACATAAAAGCAAATTAAATCCTCAAGTTTTCACAAATGAGGACAAAGTGCGGATTGTGTTTCACGTTTTTTATGATCTAAGATAAATTAAACGTTTGATATTAATGCGTTTTTTACAAAAGAAGATATTCAGCATCATGTACCTAAAAATTCTCGGTTCGAAATTACTCAAATCCTGGAATTTATGTATTTATATCATATTTAAGTTTCTTTATTAATTTATGTGATTTTGACTACATATCTTGAAGACAAATCATTCATTTATAGCAAAAGAAATGTCCGAAACGTTACATTACTTACACTGGTTGTTCAAATGAAAATATTACTTTCTTGTGGACCACGCTTTTAATTTCAGTTGAATAACGAAATACCACTTTATCACATTGTATTGGATTTGAATGGTTCACAACATGGGAAAATTAGACAATATTTGGTACATTTATTGTATCCGGAGGAGAAAGGGTACAGGGGTACAGGACAGCTGAACAAGAAAACGAAGGCGCCGTGAACAAGTGAAGGAAGCTCTAGTCATCGATAGTACGAGTACTGTACCTCTCTCTTTCCTTATCTGTCGAGGAGAGCACGAATTCCGTGCATTGATTCCAGAGCAGACAAGACATAGGCTTGACATTTGTTCATCCTCGGCTTCCACGTAGAAGGTATAACTGCCATGGCCGAAGCTGTTCTACCTGCTCCTCGCATCGCAAGTGTTTATTGCAACGCCTCATGCGCTCGGAGGCATGATGGCGATGGGTGGGAAACCGGCCTACATTGTAACAGCACTGCGATTCAAAACCCTGACCATGTCTTCCCTCCATCCATTCATTGATTTTCTCTTCTCATTCCCGCACGCTCGCAGCAGAGGATCCAGTTTCGAGCAGAGCTTCGCTGTGGATACGATACGAGAATGTCGTCTGATTCAGTCAGCCATCTTCAGCTGGTTGTGGATCGAATTCTGTCTAGAGGTGCCAGAGAATCTGCCCCTTCGTTATTGAAGGGCACGGGCGTTGTTCCAGATGGAGATTCGGTGAATTTACAGCACGAGGTTGAGAAGCTCGGTCACTTGGGCTCTTTGCTGGAGAGTGAATACAAATCCGGAGTCAGATATGGACTGGAGGACCTCGAGGATTTTCAGAAGAGTCTTGCTCATCTCTACTGGCATGCTCAGCAGCAGATCGACGCGCATGGAAAAGATGAGAACCGAGAATCAGTCAGGCTTACTGATGTCGTGGAAAAGCTCTACAATATCAAAGATTGGGTCCAAAAAATGGAAGACTTGATGAGAGATGAGCTTTCTTCGCCTGTATTATCGGACTCGGATGAGACCAAGAAGGACGAAACGCCATCTACGAGCAGTGTCCAGGACTAGTCGTACACAGTTCCAGTTCAGAACTTTAGTGGGAGATCATGCATAGCAGCTTCAACAATACTGGAGCCTCGGTATTAGTGATAATTACGCTGCACTCTCACTCGGGACATTGATGCTCTCCACGCTATGCTTGGCATGCCTAATAGGCGATTCTTTATTTGATGCAGATTCCAACGAGTAACATGATGAAGTTCATGTGACTGGTGGAATGAGCTGTCCGTAGCATAGACTTGTCCACCAATCCAATCTGAGAATCTTCACATTAATTTCTGATTGCATGAAAGAATATCTGATTTTTTAAGGATTGAAATGTTGAGAAAATCGTGTTTTCATAAAATCAAGCAGATAATATCATTGGCTTAGACAATATTATTGGCTTAGACGAGACTTGTTTGGATCGATTGTCGGATTTTTATGAAGACTTTGAAACTAAACTGTGTGGAGGAATGTGAAGTGACAAACGTTGCATTATGTGCTGATCAATGATTCAATTTAGTAGGATCTAAATCGCAAAGGCATAAACATGCTTGACATAAACTCATTGAAATGGAATGACTATTCCATCCCTTCGTACAGTAGAACTCTGTTACCAATTCACCACAGCAAAACAAAGTAGTGAGATGGATCGTTCAGTGAAAGTATGGAGTGACAAGATGCTGAAGCAGAACAATTACAGAAACACAAGGACTAGGCATATCGTTCTTGTTGATCTCCGCATCATGATTATCTTCACTTTCTCGAACAAAATGTTCTTAAGACATCAAACTCTTGAAACCATTTTCTAGCTTAAACCTAGCCCATATAAGTGGTGGTGATAACAATCAAATGAAATACGTTTAGGCTAGAAAATGCCTTCCGCTGTTGCTTAAAGAGTATGATCAGTTCCATGAGAGGGACCTTGCTTATGTTTGAAAAAACATGATGATTATTCACATTTCCGACAATCTTTGTTTTTAGCGAACTGGCTTACCGGCATAGGCTATGCTATTTGAAATATATACATTTACATCAAGGAAATTGGATGGGGGTTTGGAGTGGTCCTTGATGTCCTAGTCTATTGCTTGAGAGAATTGCATACATGCTCGAGAAAGGCTGATACATACCTCCTTCTGTCTGAAACTACTGAATTCCGACAATAATTAAGGAACCTGGACCATCTAGGAAATCAGATTTAAATATCATTTGTCGAGTTGATTCTTGTGTCAAGACTCCACATGATGAAAATGATCAGGGAGGAGATCATGCCGGATTACAATATGGACATTTTCTAAAGGGAAATAGCTTCATCAAAAGCCGTTTATTCGTACTTTTCGAAATACTTGTAAGAGATTTTTCTATCCGTGAATCGCCTCGTGAAGAATCTCCACGAACTAAACATCAACAGCTACAATCATGGCGCACTGCTCTCTCTTTGTTCCTCCTGAACAGCCTGTTCTGGGTCCTGTGTACTTGAATGGAAGTTTGACGAAATAAATGAAGCTGTCCAGTAATTGTTCACTTCCTTACCTGATTCACGAGCTTCTTAATCTTCAGAACCCGACGAGCTGATTCGAAAACGTTAAGTCAGTCATGCCTCGAGATCCTTGGCAGTTGTGGCAGCGCTTGTCTCGTTGCAATTCTTCTTTTCCACCGAGTGCTTGTACTTGAAAGAACATTTGTAGAGCACGATGCTTTGTTTCATGACCGGATTTGGCTCGGAAGTATGCAGACACGTCTTAGCGTACCCTCTGGCTCCCTGAAAATCTCCCGTTCCACCGACTATGGGGATCCCACGGTCACCATCGCCCGATTCTACCCCCTGGACTTGCAGAGCTCCCCGGTACTTCTCGTGATGCTCGAGGACGACCGTGGACACGAGATAGATCTTGTCCACGTCCGAGCCGTCCGGAATTGCAACGCCTTGCCTTCTTCCTAAGTGCTTGGACGTCAGCTCGGACCCTTCGGTGACATCGTTGTCGAAGACGAAGCTGCCTTCGGCCGCCATAGCGCTCAAGTCATGGGTCTCCTCACCTCGACTTGCAACAATTGCTGCCTCATTTCGTCCGTGCACGTAGAAGGTCAAGGTCTCTGTATCTCCCTTCTCTAAAACTCGGGCATCTACGAGAACGATCCACAGCAAAAAAAATGCTGCTGATAGATCCAAGATGAACAATTTTCTCTCCTCCTCTCCTCCCATTTTCCGCACCTAAAAATCCACCCACGACTCTGTGAAGTCTAGAATTGGAAATTCTAGATTCAGTCTCTTGAGGTCCTGTGGCGCTTGGGAGTGATGGCAAATAGAAGCTACTCCTGATGCCTCGAAGGCTCTGACAGTCCGGATCGTAGAGCTGAGAGCTCTGGTCTATCTTAAATGGCCTATAGTCAGCTAAACCGATCAACTTGGGAGCGAAGTGAGCGAAACTGTTCGCGCTTCTCTCCAGAGACTGGAGCTCCCCTAGTTGATGGTTTCAACGATGTCTTCACAGGGCTTATAAACTGCAGCGGCCTCCGTCCCGGACGCGAGAGGAATAGTTGGTATGGATCTTTCACTGTAACATAATCTCATTATAAAATTAGCATGTTTTCCCAATATGAGCATGATCTCTCTTGTCTGTCGTTCAGTACTGTATTTTATTCGAATGAAATCAAAACCGTATCCATCTCTGTGCGACAGAAGTCCCCTAGTCAGGTAGACTGGATTTATCTGGGCCTCCAACGTGATGGATTTTCCATCTCTCTCGTGCAGCGCAAGTTTTGATGAGCTGCATGTTGTAGCCAGGAGAGATTTAGGCACGAACCTCGTGGTCGGAACCTTTGTGTGGATGACATTTACATCGACATTGTGAGTTTGATGATGAACGTGATGATTGAACGATCGGCAACCTTCTATTCCTATATTCGGCCTTGCATGCCAGTTACTGTCATCTTCTACTGTCTGTCTATCTGTCTTTATATATAATCATTTATTTATATATATAAATAAACGATTATATTATCATTGATTCAGATTATAGACAATGATAGAGTTCAGCACAAAGTTCTGATCTGGCAGATCTTCAATTATTCCAATGATTCTTAATAATGATAAGTTAGTCACATAGTGTTAGGATTCATAGATCTGGAGCAAGATTCTCTTATAACCTGCAGTGGCTTTGGTTCCTCGACCGACAGATAAACACGACGCATGACAACATTCACGACTGCGTCCGTCCACGACTAAATCCAATGTCCTCAGCGCTCGTTAGAAACCTAACGAGCGCTAATTTAAGTTCTCAGACCACGTTAGAAACGTGGTCTGAGAACTTAAGATTATAAGATTGGAACATATTCGCTCAAATGCTAAGACACACAGAGAAACTAGCGGTCGGAAATCAAATCACCCAATGATCTGCCATTCCACGTCTTCCTTCATTTAAGATGATTACGAAGACAACCGTTGTAAAAATGACCCTCTGCGTGCATTTCATCTTTCACACTGAATTATGTATTTTAAAATAAATCCATACTCGAGTTACTATGAATTAAATTCGTTACAGCTGGATCATAGCATCAGAAGAGAAAAGGGTGAAACATCTTACCATTCAATTTTCGATGTTAATAAAATATCTTTGAATCTTCTGTGATGTGAGTTTGAGCTCAACGAACTTGTATTGATAGGTGAACTAGTATTTGCATAGGAGAATTTTTCCAGTTTCTGCTCATACCAATTATTGCTTTGAGACTGCACCTGTCTGGTCACCTTCATGTGAGATTTCTGTTCAGAGGTTTTGCTTTTTGCTGCAAGAACTCCGTGTGAAGATCTAATTTGCATTGAAAGTACCATATCAATCTTCCCCTCCTTGACAGGGATTGATGAACTTTTATCTTGGTATAGATCCATGTGGCCCACGCAAACCACACATATCTGACGCACAAACTCAGAAAAGTAGTAGACTTTCACCTCTAACTGTAGATAGGCACTTTTTGAGCGATCCGAACAACTAACCGCCAAGGCTCTTGTTGTCGAAGGGAATCGAGCTAGTGAGGAAACAGAGAGTTGACTTATATAAAGTTATAAGTATTTCTGTGTTGCAGAATTTAGCAATATGTTCAATTTCAAGTGACAATTTCCATACATTCAATCTGATGCATGGCACTCTTTATCGAAGGCTCAGAGTCACTCACATACAACATCAGAGACTACTGCTACAGGTATCTGTTCTCAACCAAAATCAATCGCCGAATTAGATGCATTGCAGATGCAAGTATCGTCTGCTGATCTTGTCAAATTTGATGCTATGATCTTTATCATAGCATAAACGTAAGAGTTTGAATTTGATGTATTTATTTTCTATGTCTTTCCTACAGCATCTTCTAGGTTTTCTCCAATCCCATGGATTCTCTCTGACATAGCTTACTAATTCATGTGTAGTACAAATTCAAAAAATACGCCTTGTTCTCTCTGAATCTGTAACAATCTCGAGTTACTACAGATTAGATTCGTTCTAAAAACTCTTACGTTTATGATAAAGATCAACACCTGTAAACATCGGTAAATATATTGGCATTGTTAAAAATCTTCAAATTTTCTCAAGGCAAAAGTTGGCGCGCTAAGATTACATCAATTATGAATTCAATTGAGTCAGACTCAACTCTTCGAATTTGCATGTTGACATGTACTCCCAACATCCTAGGAGCTCAGTAATTCGGCCTGGACCTCGATAAATCATTTGGTGTAGACCGTAATCTGTATATATATATATATATATATATATTTCGTCTCCCAGATTCTTTATTTGATAACGAAAATCTTAACTGTCTTCCTCTGATAGACTTAAATTCTTTTTGAGACAAGTTATGGGCGAATAAGGTGCCAGTTGATCCACAAAGGACGCTTAATGGGCAGTCAATTGACTCCGAGCCTAGTCAATCAAACACATTGATCGTCACGAAACCATCATTCTAGTACTTTCAATCTTCTCAAAGGACAGAGGACGCTTAATGATCAGTGAACTGACCCCGAGCCTAAGTAACATAAAGCATTGTACGTCACGAAACAATCAATCCACTCATTTCAATTTTCTCGAAGTACAGAGTGATTCATTTGAAGTTCTGTAGCTGAATGTTTTATTGAACGGCACAAAAGCACAGAAAGAATATACAGTCGACTGAGTTTGGACCCGTATGGTCCCCACTCAGAGTAAATACCTGACACTGCCTATTGTTAACGTCGAAAGGAAAGGAAGGAGTATACGTTTTAATTTTCTAATTCCCCAAATTAAGTCAAATGTTGGGTGTCTGTGGACTACAATGTAAGTGCACCATACGAAGAACGACGTCATGTCTTAAAGTGATCTAAATTTTCAGTTTAGAAAGCAATTCCAACCTCTGTGACTGGCTGTTCAGGATAAAATTCTCATGTTGGGATTGTACTTCCCATTGACCTCGATCGAGGAGATGAAAGGAAATTTCTCTGAAAGAAAATATTGAGACTCTTGTTTCTAAGCAGTAGAGTAATAAATTCGGAAGAAACAAAGGTTGTAAGCGTCTGTATGAATTAAGGATGTGGTCTATTGGCTACCTCCATATTATCTCGAAATCGTTAGCAATAGAGGACTCGTAATGAAATGAATCCAAGTGAGATATTAAATCAGCATGATTAGATTCTCTTCTTTAGAGTCTCTGCCATGATTGTACACAGGGAGTTGTACAACCGAATCAAACCTAAGGCAAAACATTCCAAAAATACTTGTTGAGTGTGTAATGGTAGCGAGTGCCGGGAGCGAGGGGGAGCACGGAGAGGAGTGTACTTTTAAGAGGCCGAATAAATTCTTCACGAAGTGTTTAACCTGTAGTTGTTTATCTTTAGATTTAGGTTTGACTTATGCTAAATTCAACACTATGAAAAGTTGTACCTAGATAGTAGTGATTTTGTTACTTTCTGGATTTTGAATGATTTTCTTCGACTGAAGTTATGTCATTGTTTTTTTATAATTTGATTCTCTTGTCTTAACCGTTTTCACATATGTTATAATATTATGAAACGGAGAACAGAAAATCATGGTAAGCATTTCAATTATTAGGATTTTGATAGTGAACATTTTGATTAGGTTTCAAGGGATTGTGGTTTAGATTGTGCCTGCTATAACTTCTTCTTCATCATTTTCCTCTAGTTTTTACTTTGATGTGTGAACATCTCTTTACTGTGCAAGGAGCACATTGCCATATCGAAATGATGTACAATTATTATAATATATGTTCATATTAGACTATGTAATTGGCTTTTTTCTGCATAAAAGGCTAAGCAGATTTTATTTTGTATCCAGGAGTTGATTGGCACCAAAATATTATAAAAGACTATTGTGGATATTGTTTCACTGGATGCCTCCATAGTGTCTATGTTAAACCAAGGAGAAATGTTGTACATAGTAAGATAAATCTAGATTTTGGAAGTTGTGAAGAAGAGGGTTGAGCTACGATGAGGGAAGGATTCCATCTGTTTAACTTACTGTATCAAGTTTTTGGTCATTGTAAATTGCTCTTAAATCTACACGATGCTATTCACCTTCTAAAAATAAATACACTGTGGACATAAAACCTATGGCTATTATGAAGGATAACAAAATTTATTGCGATCCAGTGATCTTCAATGCATGCATTAAAATTATCTTCAGAGGAAATAGACAGCACAAAACCGGAAGTGGCGGTGCGCTCACACTGCTATTTATTGAAACTCCAAAAGTTGCAACCTCTGGAAATCCTTTTACACCAATCGTGACAAGGTACTTGCAAAGAATATTTTTCATCACGGTCCGTACACAAAGAGGGGATGTGTAGAGCTATATAGAAAGACTGCGCTATATTTGTAGACAATTCTGATGTGTGTAACTCGCCGAAAGCGGAATCTTTAGGCGCATATACTTCTGTGTAAAATCAGCTTAATCAATCCGGCGACCTCAAAATTGTTAGGTGTTCAACAGAAACTATCATCAGATACATGTTGTGCCATGTCGTGCGAGACGAGCTCTATGGGAGATTTGAGGGCTTCAAAACCCTATTTTTTTCCTCCAATTTTTTGGCTGGTGGTTTGCTGTGTAACCTTTTTTCCATGCTTTGTCACAGATTATGATATGAATAATCATATGGGCACCATTTTGGGGATGTCCACTTCATTGATCCAAAATAAATTGCATCTACATTATAATAAATGTCATAATATTTTTATGTGAAATTTTTATATGAACATAATACTTTTTAACACTTTTTACATCAATAATACAAATTTTTTGGTTAAAAAAATATTTTATTTTAACTTTTTTATTCAAAATCAAAATTATGAAATACAAAATAAACTTTATATCAAATCAGATGTGACATTATCAATAAAAATCATTTAAAAATAAATTCTTTACAAAATATAACTAATATATTGAATTTTTATTATAGCTTTAGGTTATTAAAATAATTTATTGTGTTATAAGATGT